GGAAAAATATATCTCCCGTGTAGCTATCTTTCGCCCCCCTGCTAATCTAGAACGTTTTCGTATTGCGCGTATGAATAAACACTTACGATATTATACTCCCTCAAGTTGTTGGATCTAACCTACCCCGTTGGACACATGTGCTGCGCACCGAACTATGTTATTCATAATGGTATATATCCGTGTACTAATGCATCATATTAGTTACATTATGTGGGGCCATTGCACTAGGGTTCTTTTTTTTTTTTTTTTCGGCAATAAAAATTATACGATTATTATTTACTGCCGTGCTAGAAATGGCTGCAAACAAGTCGTGTCCCTGGGTTTTTTTCCGATTACACAAGTTAAGTCCCTACGTTATTTTTAGGTTATACGTGTTTTCGAAATTCATAATTCAAATTAGAATACATAATTTTCCTATAAAAATCGTCATAATATTATAATAAAATATTAAACTATATCTCGTGGAAGATTACTGATATTGGAATATCCGAATATAATTCCATATATATATTTATATACAGTCGAGTCTCGATGATAACTCGAAAACCTTGATAACTCGATTTTTTTTTGTTCCTAGGAAATTCCTATGCACTCAATGCAATATTTATCACGATAAGTCAACTGTAAAAATAGTTGAGCATAGATAATTCGAAGTCATTTCTTACATTTTATCATTAGAATAATACATTAGTTGTCTTTACAATATATTATTTATTACTATAGAAGCGAAAGTATCACTTGATAAAGTAAGAATATCCAATGAAAATACCGAAGGTGCATTAAAAACTTTTCAAGCACTTGGGAGAAATTGAAGACTTTATTTTAAAACAACCCAAAGTCAAACTTTTATTTCAAGTTATTTTTCTAAACTGTAAGAATTATACATATTTTGTGTTTTAAAATGTAATCATTTAATACATTTTTAATTAATAAATACATAGGTATATAGGAAATTTATTTAAAATTTGTTTTTTTTTAATTGTTATGCAGTTGATAAATATACATTTACATAATAATATTTCTAATAAAAACAAATTAAATAAATAAAAAATAATATCTAACTTGAATTTTTTCGTATTTTCAAAAAAAATTTGAGTTATGTAATTCGAAAAAATACAGAAGTCGAATTAATTTTTATATCCCTTGACATTCGAGTTATTGAGACTCGACTGTAGTATAGTTCGTTATCTTATACAAACGTACAATGACAATCTTTGTACTTCCGCTCACCACTTATCTCTGCACGAAAATAATAATGAACGAAATGGACTTTTATCCAGTAAAAGTTTTATACAATATACCTGGATATTTATATAATACAATGAACACGTTTCTGGTTTTGAATTAATAAAAATATTTTCATTTCAATTCACGAAACAATATATTATATTTTGTGTAGAATATCGGCTTAAATGTACTCCCTTTGAGGGTCAAAACTCGTTTACCAGAATTTCGTCGGGACACAACTGCGCTGATAATCATTGTACAGCTATCATCTCATGATTCGTTTTGAAACAAAAGTCACTTCTTATACGATGCTTGTGCGATTAGAGGCGTGCACGTGCAAGGAATAGATCTATGGTACGGATCCTCGTAGTCGTATAATAATAATTATTTTATCTTTTAACACTAGTTTGGCGCAAATTACTATATATGTAGATCAGTGGTTCCCAAACTTTGTAGCGCACCTTCTTTTGGAGTTGCGAAAGTTGAACGGAGAAGGATGGAGTAAATATAAAAAAAACATTTATTTTAGACCACTCTGAAAGACAAATGAAGATATTTGAATATTGAAATAACAACAAAGAGTAAAATCATTAGTGTAACCTGCATCTTATTTTATTAAATGTATTCTTGGAAGATGCGATGAATTGTTTCAGAAAGAATCGAATGAAAAAAAATGTTAGGAACCACTGCAGGTGTATAGGATTAAAAGTAGAATACATTACTTATATAAAATAACTTGAAAATATTTGGTTTATTCATCTGCAATCAATTCTAAATATGGATATAATATGTTTTCCTTGATGTCACGTCATAATGCCGACCTCACTAGTGTGTTAAAACTCTATAGACTAGAAAACTATACATACCTACATTCCTAAAGAAATAAAATTTGTATAGTTCTAAAAAAATAGATATTCTTGAGGAAATAAGCGAATTTTTGTATCTACGTAATACATTTTTTTAAAAAATTAATATTTTTAAATGGTTTTCATGTTCATGTAATATTATTCAACTCTTAAAGTTACGGTGTCCAAGGCGCGGCTACTGCTGTCTAGGGTGATCAGCCGCCGATGTCTGTTGTTCTACACCGACCACTGGCCGCTGTAGTTCGTCAAAATGGTGTGGTTTTAGTGCTCATATTGTAGAAACCTACTTATTCTGTGCGGTGTTCGCGTACTTATATTCAATATGGTCAATACGTAAATCGTTAAAATAAAAATAACAAAATTATACAGTTTTTATTGGAAAAGGAAGACAAATTGTTTTCCAACTTGAGCCCAAAAAAAAAAAAAAAACACAGACATTTTAAATCAAAGTCGTCCAAATGAAGGTTTTTTTTGACATTTTAATTAAAAGACATTTATTAAATAACGAAACAAAATTTCGCGAGTTTTTTCGGGTCAATTTATTAGTTATCGCGTTATATCGTCTCGTAAACTGAACGGACAATATTACATCTATCTATACGTATTGAATATATACATTTGTATTTCATTGTTTCGGGTGTCCGGTTAGGTAAATTAGTTCTCTTGTATTACATTATTATTTCTTGTGAATACAGTATTGAGAACACACCGTTTGTGAAGAATACTCACGTTCTGAATATATAATTGCAAATTAATCGCACAGACCCATTACTCGTGTATTATCTTTGAAACGTTTGGGAAATTAACTAGCGCATTCGGTGTATTTTATTTACGGTATACAAGCAAAAAGATGTGTAAATAAATGTGATGGACGTATTAGTATGCGTTTGTTCATCGTGTCGTTTTCAATTACTTGATCGACGGCAATATTTCGGTATTATATATTAAAAGTAGGGGCTGGATTAACCGCGATCATGACAGACATTGCCATATTAAAACGGTCTACGCTTGTGTATAAACATATAGTTTCCAGGGTTGACCCAAGCAAAAATAGTGCACTAGGCAAAATCAAATTATGTGACATATATATATATAAAAAAAAAAAAGAAAGAAAAGTAAACGTTGAACGTAAAATAACACTGAAGAATATAAACAGTCGATGTTAAGCGAATGAGCGACGTACCGAAAAAAACCTAGATTCGCACGGCCAGTGTTTATTTCAGACCTTCCATCTCGAGGAGGAGGGTATCGTAAATTTCCAAGGGGGTATGCTTTAGAAGTAAATAATTAAGGGAAGTAAAAGTATCGTTTTAAGCTCAATTTATTGGTATTAGATAGACACCTAGATACCTAGATAGAATACGTAATTTCTTAAAAAAACTAACTTTAGTTAATTGTACGAAAAAAAAAATAGAATAGACATTTACTATACATACGTTACTCATACCCATTACTATATCATTAATAATGCTCCATTATGAGCTAAATCATATATATTTTAGTACATGTTATGTTTATAAATTAAATTAAACAAATGCGGCGCTGCTTTTAACGTGAGTACAAATCAATCATCACATTCATAGTATCTGCATCGAATTTTGAGGGTCCTTCTGCGCTAATTTTCACGCAGGATTACAAAGTTTCTTGTCCCCGTTCTATTTCTTATTTTGTTCATAATCCTATGCATCGTACTGAAAGAGCGTTCCGAACGAAGCTCTAAATGAAACTGGTACACATACATTAAACATTTAGCCAGTTTTTTTAAATTTGCATGCCCAATATTGCAGCACGGCTCCTCGGTCGACCCGGTGAGGACACGGATTCGGTCGCGATACACCTGCACGCCCTTCTAGTCGAACGACTCTACCGATTTACATATCGTATTAACATGTGCAGCCGTTGTTATACCAGCGCCCACTAATTGGCCGGTAAACCTCGGCCGCGCACAAGTTTCTCTCGTTGCCGTTATTACGACGACCCAAAGGAATTCCAAGCGATATAATAGTAACAGTCCGGTGCACCGCCGCGCCACACCTGTAGAATAATAACGTTGTAAAACAGTCCGGCGGCGTCGCGGTCGTCGTCGTCGACGCGTCCAGGATAAAAGTATGAATAAGGAGAGAGAGAGAGAGAAAAAACAAACCTTGTCGGTGGGCCCAGCCGCCGTGCACGTCGACGACGACCAAGACGACTAATACTCGTTAGGCCACCCAGTTAGCGTCACGAAAGCCCCCCCGTACAAACGTCCACACACGCGCGCGCGCGTATATTGTTCGGTGTGTGTGTGCGCGCGTGTGAAATAATAATTATTATTAACACCGCCGCGAGTGCAGCGAGCGACGGAGAGCGAGGGACGGTGAGCGAGAGAAGAAAAATATGCTCACGACGGGCATCCGTAACGCGCGTGCGCGCGAGACCGTGTGCGTAATAATCTTGGCCGTCGGTGGGAGAACCGTGGGGCGGGGGACCGTGGACGGGTATCATGCTAATAAATTACGTCCGAGATAAATCGACTGGGTATCGCGCTCGCGCGCGCGCGTGATGGTTAACGCAGCGGCGGTAGTGGTGGTGGCGGCGGAAAGCCGATACACGCACGTACACGTGTGTGTAATAAAGAAAACATAATTTAGCGTCTAAAAGAGGAGAGGGCCGCCGCCGCGTCGTCGATGCGCGATGTCGTTGAGCCGACAAAGAAGGCGTAATTAAAGGGTTATACGGCGGTGGCCGAGTGTTTCGTCAAAGAACGTGTGCGAGTGGGACCGCGACCGCGACCCGAGAGGAGACCATCGGAGGGCGGCGCCGACCCAACCGATTGGCCGTTGCGCGCGGCCCCTCCCGGTGCACGCCCTCCCAACGCCGCCGCTCCCTACCGCGCGTGACGGCACGACGTTGAACGCGCGACGCGCCGGCACCGACATCACAATATCCAGTGAACTCGCTGCCCGTGCGCACCGATCGCGTTTTACTTCACGCTCGTTCTGCTCCGTCGCCGCACACACGCACGTCGTTCGTTCCCTCCGTCGTCGTCGTCTCGTGTTCACCGTGATACTTTTGTTGGTTTTTTTATCTCGTTGTTTTATCCCACCGTCGTTTTGTGCGCTCGCGGAGCCGATCGACGGATCGTTTTTTATTGTTGAAATCGTGTCTCGCGGGACATGCGCAACGGTCCATGACACCGGTCGCGGATAGCATGAAATCCATAGCGTTGCGCGCCACCTGCAACAAAAGTTACTACGGCGGTTATCCGACCGACTTGAGCGGTTACGCGGCCGTTAGGTGCCGATCGCCGCGCAGCAGCCCCGGGCCCGACGACATGGACGACATAAGCGTGGGCAGGCCGTCGCCACCGGCCTCGGCCGAGTGTTACGCGCGGCTGCACGAGTCCGGCGGCCCGGACAGCGGCAACCGGAGCCATCGCGACGGATCCGACTCGTCGTCGTCCGGCGACGAGGACGGCGGCACCGCGTCCGATTATTTCGAACCGCTGAAGAAGTTGGGCACCGTGCAGATCGACAAGGTGAGCTACGGCATCAGCGACCGCAAGAGCTTCGCGCCCAAACGCCGGCCGGCGCACAGGATGCAAGCGCAGCATCATCAGCAGGACGGCCGCGTCGACGTGACAATGATGGCGGCGGCCACGCACGAGTGCGGCAGGACCATAGCGGCGGCCGGGGGAGAGGACGGGCAGCCCGCTGTGGCCGGCGTCAAGTCGTTCAGTATCGCCGATATACTGAGCCACGAGCCGAAAACGCAGCAGCCGTCCGCGGCCACGGCCTCGTCCCAGCACCATCCGGCCGAGGACGTGGGCAAGATCGTCAGACCGTGGACCGAGGAGTATCAGCCGTCGCCGTGCAGTTCGTTCGCGCCTCCACCACCCCCGCCGCCGCCCGCTCATCGACAGCCCGCCGCGGTCGTCAGCGCCCTGTTCCCGCACTCGCTGTTCATCCAACACCTGCAACACCAGCAGCAGCACCACCATAACCAGCATCAGCAGCATCATCATCATCACCACAACAACCATCTGCGGCCCAAGTCGGCTGACTACGAAACGTCCACGTGCACCAGCGGCCGGTCCAGCACGGACGGCAGTGACTGTTGCACCAGCCCCGAGATCGCCAGCTGCACCCAGTCCAACCCGTCGTCGTCGTCCACGGCTGCGGCCAGGAAACAGCAAGCGGCCGGCGGCAAGAACAACGACAACTCATCACCGCTGGACGCGCTGTTCCAGATGACCAGCAAGACGTTCGATCAACTTCACGGTGACCCGTCCGGAGCCGGTGAGTCCTAGCTATTAATTTTTAGACAATACGTACGAAATCCGTCGTTTTTCTCGTTCCACGTAGACTTTTGGCTCTCGTCGTTCCGTGTGTAGCGAAACCCGATGCAAACGGATATCGACAAGCTTCAAAGGTTCCATTTTAAAATTAAGGGTTTTTACGGTCACAACAATCACCTCTCTGTATAATCCGGTTCGATAAAAACTTGATTTTGAATAATAATATACTCGTATACGAGTGTTATAATCTTGTGGTGTGCAACTGTTCAATACAGATCGTATGACCTATACCTTGATGCGAAACATAGTTAAAATAATAGTCACAACCTTATACGAGGTGAAACGAATGTTAAGGAATAGATAAAGATGGTGCGATCCGTTTCATCCTTGCAAGATGATCATTAGCACCACAGTTCGTTATACATTTTAATATGTAAAACATTTTTGTAGCTGTATAGAGGTTACATAAATAATGTTAAATATCAACGCGATATAAGGACTGACCATTTATTTGTTTACTAAATCATACTTTAGAAAGTTACTTTTCAAACAGCGTCTAAAATTTGTTTATCTTAAGCTCAGTCAAACTACGGATAAATATTGATGCAACTAAGAGAGGGGTAAACAGCAAAATATATTTCAACCTTACCAATGGTTTTATTTAAATTTAGTTTATGCTTTTCAATTAAATATATCTTAAAAAGCAATATACACAGATTAAATTATTTTCCATATCTGATGGTATTAATGGATCTAAGACTCGTCAGGTATTACTTATTTACAGGTTCGTATTTAAAAATTTGGCGCTTCTCCCTCCCCTACCAAAATAAATAATAATAATAATATAACACTTATTATTTCGGCCATAATCGAGATTCTTTAATATTAATATATAACTTATAAATGAAAATCGTGTAATACTTTTTTAATTAACAAATTAAACAAATTATAACATAATAAAATATACGATTTCCTTTTTTTAATTAAAAAATTATAATATCATATAATAAAAATACGATTTTTTTTTTTTATTTACAAATTATAACATTGTAAAACATACCTACTATTTTATTTTTTTTTATTGTTTTATTTTTTTTCCATTAGGTACATTATTTTTAAAATTAATTTCGCTAAAATATTTTGCCACCCCTGAGACTTGACGCCCCCGAGCATGTGCCTACCCGTGTTCCCCCCCCCTAAATACGGGTCTGCTTATTTATAATAGTAATAAAGGATTAAACTTTATCAATGAATTGTAACCCAAAAACGTATTCGTATACAGTCGACATTTATTTTAGAACTTTTTATACGTATCGGTATTGCGTATGACTGTTATGATTTCGAGTTATTTTTATGGGGGTTAGAAGGGTTCCATTTGAATTTACAGCACCCCGTTCCAATATTTTAGACCTATACAACCATTACTAGAGTATTTTTTTTTATCGATATTAAAATAGAATTTATTTTTCTTCCGTCTCATGATTTCGTGTTCGTAATTAACAAAAATATAAACTCTGTAACAGCTACCTTGTAAATCAATCTTATGTTAAAAATGACATATATGTTTTCATTTATCATACAGAAAATACGGCTTTCGTCGTCAATTGTCGTAGTACAATGACATTGCAATTAAATTTGTGTGTTTGTAGTATCACGAACAATGTATTCAATTCGTCCAAGTGCCATTCAACACATAGAAAACAATATTTTTTAATTAACATTTATGACCAATAATAGTATACCAATACATTGTTTAAAAACATTTCGTAGAAGAAAATTCTTGAAATGATTAAATCAATGCTTGAATATTTAATTTACTTGAACTAAGTGATATAACAAGTTGATAATTTGCCTTCGTGTAACAAAAAAGGAACCTATGCATTTAAATTAAAATTTGACGAAATTTATTATACGTTTAAGAAATATTCTTTATCTAATCCGGAAATCTGCTCTGAAAATAATGAAAAATAAATATCATTTCATATCTAGTATTAATCATATAATAATCCAAAAATAAAAAATAAATTAAATAAAAATAACTAGTATATAGTATTAACGAGGTTATATTATTTTAATGAATATTTAGGAATATATACATGTTATTTCGCAAATCGTTTTCGTCGAGTAATTGTTCACAATTAATATATGACAAAAGCAGTATGTAGTTAGGATCACCCGGAAACGAAATAGGTAAATTGTCCGACACGATGGAAAACATTTACACAAATAACATATAACATGGTATATTGCATTGTAAACATATATGTACCGTCAGCGCCGTTGCCAAAATCGGAGTGTAGGAATTTTTCTTAATTTTTTGGTTCGTCTGTCTTCCAATTACGCTGTGCGTTCCAAACCTATGCCAAATGTACCTGAACTCAATGCGATAGTATCATTTTTGTTTTAATATTTATGTGCATATAATTTATGTATTACAAATAATTTGATATAAATTAATCGGGTAAATATCGCTCGCCACACAGTGTGAATAATACTGTTACCGAAATTAATTGAATTTACAAAAATTAATTAACCGCTAAAGTAGACCACGCTGTTATTGTAAAACGCCATCTTGGTTTCGACACATTTAACATTTCAACTCATCCATTCGGTTTAAGCTCACACGTACCCGCACAAACACACGCAAGACGGTGCTCAAACTTTCGTTAATAAGTTTTTATTGTAACGTTTCAAGGACTTTTTCCATACAAATTTATATGATTGGCGTGCGATATGTGTCGCACATTTCGATTCAACCTGCATATTTACTGACGAGAGTACAATTTATCGCTAATATGCAACGAACATTTTAAACTGAAAAAATACGAACCGAAACGATTTTATAGTTGACTTATCGGTTTATTAATTTTTCGATGGAGACCATTCGCGTGCAGATGACTTGAGTCGAAGTGTAAAAAAATTAACTACGTTCAATTTATTGCGCGGTATCTCTGATCTCAATACTCTTAAATCGCATATAATTGATGATTTGGAATGTTGGAATTGTAGAAAAGTAATGATATTTTGCACGCCGAACTGCGATAACAAGCGCAAATCGTGAAAAAAAATATTTAGAATTTCTATATTTATTGTATCTTATCTATGGCGACATATAAAATGGTAAAAAAATTACAAACAACCCAATTATACAATAATACAGTTTAAAAATGTTTCTAAGTATCCCAAAAAAAAAAAAAAAAATGAAGTAAACAGTTTTCTTAAAATAATATTTTTTTAGTTAAATTTTGCCCGTTCAACAATTTCGATTAAACATTTTATCCAATCCCCTCTACAGCACCTACATGATCATAATTGTTTATCTGAATTGTAGTGTATAGGTACTTAGGTGTTAAATCGAGAAACGATTAAATATATCATAGACCAGCGATTCTCAACCGATGAGTCACCAACAATTTTTTTTACGTTCACATCATGTGAAAAAAAATTATTTCAAATCAACAACAACAAAAAAGTCATTAAATTAACAAAATATTAAAATTTACATAATTATAATTTTTTTTTTCTATTAATTAACGCCAATTGGCTTTTATAATATACTTTTTTTTGTAAAATATATACACAAATAAATACAATAATAACAGTTTGTAAAATGTTTCAATGCTTACATTACAAAAGAGTTGTTAGACATATTGATAACATTATAGGGGGTCGCGAACTCAAAAAGGTTGAGAACCGCTGTCACAGACCATCAAATTGTACGTTAACATTTTGTAGAGAAGTTTATTAATATTAAACAGTCACTGAGTAGGTACTAAGCAGTAAGTATAAAATAAATTGTATATTTTTTCATTTATGTATAAAATATAAATACTACAAGATTACAAGATACAACCATACTGAAATTTCAATCATCATTGCGTCTTGTAGTAACATGCATTGATAAAATTAAGTTACTATCTATTGATATATTTTCCAACACTAATTTTCTTTCTTCGTAAATCTAAAAATCTAGAACTAGTAAGTCCTTTCGCATAAGTCTTAATGTAACCCGACGTGAATCTAGAAATTAAAAAAGGTCCCCTCACCTTTTTTTTAGTCCAGCACCTCACGGGTCCACCAGAGCCAGTAAAAGAGTAGAACAGAAGGAGCAACCGGTCTGGGCCCCACCATTGTAGAAGACACGCGACTTTCGTAGGATTTAATAATTCGCAAGCCTACGATGATAAGTTAATAAAAAATAATATAGTTTTAACGCTTTGATGGTAAAATATAATATTCATACTACAGAAAAAACATATTATTACTCAATTTATGTAAAATAGAAAAACATGTCATACTAGTACTAGTGTGACCAAGAAACATTTTTTTATCTTCACGAAAAAAAAAATTCTAAAATCTTCCCTAGGCCCCTGGACGAAAAATTTTACTTCAAATACATCAAATCATAAGCATTTAGTTTAAGTTTTTAAATTAAAAAAAATGATACATAGATTAATTAATTCATCATACATGCATGTTATAAAATAATAATATACATTATATAATAACATAGGCAAGAGTGCAAAATATTTAGTAGTTGAAAAAATATTATAGTTTATAAGCAAATTAATGTTACCAATCTTCTGTTTTTATCCTTCTATGTCAGGACTATTGAGGACTTAAGAAATAACCATGGTTAACAATCACTTTTAAATGTTAATAAGCATTATAATATGTTATAAGAACCTATATAATATTGCTCCTCTTTACTTTAACTAATAAATTGAAAATTTAGGTAGCTTTTAAATATTTCAAGTACCTAAGGCCCAAGGGGAGGCTTCAGCCCTCATAACCTCTCCCCTTATATCCGCACCTGAATTTACCCGACTCATAAATCGTGATACCTAGATTAAATGTGATTTTAAAATTTCCGCTGGAGTCATATAATGTAATGTGCTAATGCGTATTATATAGGTATAGAAATGGATGAAAAATCATATACAGAGAATCCCACCGTAGACGTTCTTATATTTCCTTTCGTGTACAACGCGTACATAAATA